CGGACGAGCACCCCGCGGACCAGTGTCGAGTACGTTCGCACGCAGACAACCCGCCTCCTCCGGCGCACTCGCACCCGATGCCCCTCGCCACCGGCGACTCCCGCGCCGCACCCACTCCGCGCCTCAAACACACTGCGGAGACCATCTCGACGACCTCGAACAGCCGCGCGCGGTACAGCGTGAATTCCCGCCGAGCCGCACTCCCCGGCGTACATCGCACCCGTCCGCACCACTAGCGTAACACCCCCGCCACCCGTTCCACTCGACGACCCCGCACACCGCTGGAGGCCGAAGCCCGACGTCCGTCAGCAAGGTGTACGCAGCAAACGCTCTATAAAAATTGCGCTCTTACCTCTAGGTACGTGCGTGGGTCAAGCAGAGGGTGGCTCCGGGAGCGGTATACCAAAAGCGGCTATCGGGCTGCCTGATTGGGTGGAGGGCCGGCCCGCGGCGGGTGCGTTTGCCTTTTGCCGTTAACGGACATCAAGATCCCGAAGTCAGATATCAAATGATCCCGAGACGTTTTTTTCTTCGATTTCTCATCTCTCGCACAAGTGTTTCGCTACCGCTCGCTGATGTTCTGCTATTTATTTGCGACTGGGTCTGCTGTTTCAACAACCTCACGCGTACTCCCCAGGTCTCGAAGCGCCGTCTCCAAAGATTCTGACTCCGGTCGGAGTCTGAAGGAAGCTGTTGCAATACCTTCTGGATTCCAGCCTTCGGCGGCCGGGAAAGTTCGCTCCACGCTCCACATAAGCACTATCAGGTCATCGTCGGCCATACCACATCTCCGACTCGCTCCTTTGCTTGAATCGTGCGGGCCAGCACTTTCAACAGTCGCCTGTTCAAACTCACGACCCTAGTTGAGGGTATGCTACCTCACTTCATTTTTGTGTTTTGTTTCTGGTTAAACGAGTCAAAAATCGCGCCGAGCCCCAAATCCTTTCTTGGACACTTCTTCTTTGACGAGCGCATAAATAGGAAATGCCAGGCTCATGTCCATCCACCCACCCACGTCTACCGCCAACTCATGGACGACCCCAGGTTCCTCGTGTTGTACGGAGTGCTTGCTGTGATTGCACTCGCAACCTTTCGTAAGGTACTTCGAGACCCCAAGGTACACAACGATTCTTTGTGAACCAACCTAGAGACATGCTTAAATCCCTAGGTGGAAACAATCCCCATCGTCGGGTCTTCCGGGTTCTTGTCCAGCTATCGGGATGCCTTGGCGTTTTTTACAAACGCCTCGACCCTGATCCAGCAAGGATACGACCAGCAGCCCCAAGGAGGAGTCTTTCGCGTCGCCCGCCTTTGGCGTTGGGAATATGTAGTCTGCGGCCCCAAGCACGTGAAGGAAATAGGTGCTGCCCCGGAGAACGTGCTCTCATTTCGCGATGGCGTTCAAGAAACCCTCCCGAGTTGGCCATTTTGCTTCCTCCGCTACCTTCCTTCCTGACGACATTTATTACTTTCAGCGAGGCTTGTCATCGGCACCGCGACCACGGACAATCCATATCACTTCCATACCGTCCGCAGGAATCTCACCCGAAATCTGCACGCTTGTTTTCCCGATGTTAGGGATGAGATCATTTGCGCCTTCAACGATGTCTTGCCAGTGAAGGACTCTGGTGAGGATCGCTTTGTATCCTCAGTTTATCGGTCTCAATTACAGTAGAATGGACAACTCTCCCGGTATTGCCCATGATAATGGCCGTCGTAGCGCGCGTCAGCAATCGCATCTTCGTCGGCCTTCCGCTATGTATGAATCGCCGCTTTTCCCCCACTCTCTCACTCACTCGACTTCTGTAATTAGGCCGGAATGAAGCCTATTTACAGAACAACGTTCAATTTGCCATCGACGTCGTGAGTAGCGGGCAACAAATAGCCTTTTTTCCAAAGCTTTTACAACCGCAAGTGACATTCAACACAGACTTTACGAGGAGCTCACGAAACTTTAGGCTCGTCGCTCCGTTTATCACGAACAAGAACAATAGTATTGCGACGGCTATCAAGGTGCTGGGTCCTACCATCGAGGACAGGCTGTCGAAAGAGAACGAGATGGGCCCAAATTGGCCTGGAAAGCCGGTGAGATTCCCTCGTGTTGCCTATACACCCATGGTGCCTAATCATAGATACAGAATGATTTCATTTCCTGGCTATTGGAGCTTGCGGAGGGCGAAGAGCGGACAGCTCCTGCTCTTGTACTCCGCCTTCTTTCAACGAACTTCGCCGCAATACACACATCGTCCATGGTATGTAGTATGCTTTGCGGGTCATTTCCAATCAAATGATTTGTGTTGCTCTCCACAGACCTTCACCCAAGCGCTCTTTGACTTGGCGGCTCACCCTGAGCACTTGCTTCCCCTGCGTGAGGAAGTGGAAGCCGTAGTGAAGGAGGAAGGCTGGTCGAAAGCCGCTCTGAATAGCATGGTCAAAATCGACAGCTTCCTGCGCGAGTCGCAGCGTATCAATAACTTCGGAACGGGTACATCATTCCTTCCGTCTAGCCTTCCATACTAATCAAATGCCAGTGGTCATGAGCCGCAAAGTTGTAGCGAAGGACGGATTCCGATTCTCCGATGGAACTTTCGTACGTCGTCCTCCGACTTTCCGTAGCCCACGCATGCGAACTAACGTTTTTTGGTCAGCTCCCTCACGATGCACTTCTCTATGTTGCAGCGCGCGCGACCCATTATGACGATGGCACGTATCATAACTGAACAGTCGCTCCTCATTTAGATTTCCTTTCCCAGCGAACTTTGAGAACCCCACCAAATTCGACGGATTTCGCTTCGCCAGGGAGCGCGCGGAGTACATGGCCACGCACGATTCGAGCCAGGATATATTCAAGCGCCAGATGATCTCTACGGCCGTGGATCACCTGCCCTTTGGAACCGGGAAGCATGCCTGCCCCGTGAGTGTTCAGTAAAGCTAATTGCACCGCCCTCATGTCTCGTTAGGGTCGGTTCTTTGCGGCGACAGAATTGAAGGCGATGCTGGCGCATCTGGTGTTGAACTACGATGTCAAGGCGGAGGTGGAGGGAGCGCGGCCGCGTGATGTTTCATTTGGTCTCATGATAAGCCCGAACCCCGCCGGCAAAGTTTCCTTCAGGAAAAGAACAAATTGAAGAAGACCTCTCATTGGAAATGTGACTCGGTTTGAATATATGGTATTTGTCTCCCATTGGAACGTGGAATCGACGATGACGAAGAAACGTACACATCCGTATGAATGCGAATTTGATCAACTGGAATACGGCGCTCCGGTCATCCTCATGTTCGCGATTTCAACACTTCTTCCCACGGTTGCAATTATGGGCAGTCAGCTCAAATAAATCCCGATACTAAATGAAAGGGAGGTTCATGGTCAGAGGACTACCCGTACTTCAGGTATAAACGCCTTATTCGGCGTGGCCAGTGACCTCTTGGCATAAGTCGGATTGTCCCCTTGAGCAATGAGCGTTGCGAGCGCAGGTCAAGCGGCGCAGAGGCGATGAAGCGATCGGGATGTCGCCGTCGACGCTGTCACGATTGCACAACTTTTGAACGACATCGATATTATAGCCACGCTCACGATCGTCTTCGACGGCAGCTCTAACGAGGACGGAGTTGTCGTGATCTTCGCGCTCACCGCCTGGCCGTCACTCTAGCCTCAAATGTGAATACTGATGGCGCACCCTGGAAAAATATTTCTCTGGGAAGCCAGCGATGATGGAGGAAGCAAAGAGGTTAGTTACCAGTGATATTTGGACACATTTGGGGAGGATACAGCGTGCTTGCGAAAGGACAGAAAGCGCTGCGGAAAAACGCCGACGATGTCTATAACACTGTACGCCGCTGCGATTGCCCAAGTGAAAGAAGCAGATGCATATTGGTCAGGCCGCCGTAGGTTCCGATCTGAGTGTCGCAATGCTGAATGACTTGTGTGCCGATTTCAGTCCTTGTGGATGTAAATTATTATCCATGTTTCATGTACCTTTGATGGTCTTCTCGTCGATTTTTTTTCCAATCGCTTCACGTGATGGACGCACAAGTTAGTAGGGCCGTGGATGCGAGGTCCCACTGACTATATATATTGATATTCCGGTGCTGGTTCCCATTCATCCCAGAAGTTGAACATGAAGTAAGGCCGTCAGTGCAAGTCGTTCTTTCGTCGATCGTTTGTGGATCTGTTGGAACCCAAAACCACGGCTTTTTTCTGTAGGGCGGGAAGCGCGACGTTGAGAGATTTTCTGTGGGAGTCTGATCGACTCGTCTTGGCGGTTCCGTCTTCCGTTTTCTTGGCCGTGAACATGCATTGTGTTGGGATATGTGCTCAAGCCGAGCCTCGGGCATCTCGGGCATGTTGGCGACTCGTGGCGACTCAACCAGATTCAGTAAGAATATCAGAGAAGATCAGGAATGGCATAGAACATTTCGCAATGACTGTGATGGACCCGCATAAAACAGTAGAAAACTAGTAGATACCTCCCACCCCGGCTTCACAGCCGTCGTGCAAATCTTGACTTGATCGAACCGAATATTGAGTGAAGATAAGGAATGAATTCCTTCCAGCAGAAACTTCATCACATTGGGTGCCAGGTGTAGGTGCGGATAGCTGGTCACCGGGTGGATGTAGGTCCATTTCTCATGGGTGTGGGTACGCCGCTGTGATTGCCAAGTGAAAGAAGCAGATGCATATTGGTCAGGCCGCCGTAGGTTCGTCCCGGTATGAACTATACTTCTTTCCTGAAGGAAGCAGTGGTCTAGGTTGTTAAGCTGCAGAGGTTTAGTGGTAGTTTAGGAGTCAAAATCTCAAGTTTGTTCAAGACTGCAGCCCAACTGTCCAAAACCTGTCACCCTGAAGCAACGGCGAAATCAAAGGCGATTGGCAATCGAGCAGGCCACACTGCACCCAAAAGCTCCATACCTACCGGTAAATGTTGTGGTTGAAGAATACAGAACTTAGTTCAACTTAGGCAGTGACCAGGTTTATGTTCATCTTACCCGAGCCTGAGCGTGGCCTTGTGGTCCAGAGGCAAGATACTTGCTTTGGGCTGATGTAGTAACGCAACTGCAAGTGACCTGGGTTCGATTCCCAGCAAGGCCCCGTGTTTTATTTTTCAACTCGAACCCTGTTTGGCATATTCGGCCCCCGAATAGCACCCACGCTCCGCCGCAATCTGTTGCAACACAGTGCTTCTCTTCTCTTCTCGCCGATCTTCTCGCCGACGTCCAACAGTTCACCTGACAGTTCAACTTTAAGCCTCCTGAACCTGATCCAATTGCTGCTTTATTTTTTGGGTAACTCCGCGTTTTGCGACCGTCCTTGCAAACCACCGATCGCTACCGATCTCCACCCCGGGTAAGTTACCGGGGTAACCAACAAGAAGTTCCATAAATAGAATTTGAATTTGAGAGATTCACCATGTGGACAAGTCGCCAAAATTGTCTCCGTGCCGAGAGCGCCGGCGTCTGTTGTGCATCTCGTCAATCGTCTTCGTGCGAACCCTTAGGTCTTCCCTGCCGCCTGGCAGTGGCACGGCGCCCTGTTGTGAGCCACGATGGCCCCCCTCGCAAATGTCCAGCTATCGTGCGTCGTCCTTACTCTCGTTACCAGTAAGATGCTTACCCGACGACAGGTATGGGCCAATGCTCGTCGGTCAGTGTACAATGACCACCGTTAGAACTTGTCTGAGATTGCCGTACAGGTGTATTTTTCAATATGATACTCTACGGGGTGCGTGCGCCACAAATCTGGCTTACAGCCTTACTGACCCTCCACTCAGGTCTTCGTAGGCCAGGTTTGTCCTTGAGGCCGATACACACGCCCCGGGGACTCATTTTCTTTCCAGGTATTGACCTACTACCAACTATACCGCAAGTGCGCTACTCCCCGTGTCCTCCTGCGTCGCGGAGTCACTGACCGACTTGCAGGGATGACGCCTGGATGCGATACTTTGTGCGGAAGCAGATCGGCGCTCGCATCTTCCCCGGACTAATGCATGCATTCCTCGCAGGTGGCATACCTCTTCGTGCTAGAGACCGCCAATACCGGTCTGGACATAGGAATCATGTACCAACCTTTAATTCTAGAATACGGTAAGCCTGTGCTCGGCGTCGACGACTGGCGCGTCTCACGCATGACTACCTAGGTCGGACACCAGTCTACTTTCCCTTGCGTGCGTTACTTGTCCTGGACTACTCTCCCGCTCTATTGACCCGCACGCACAGTCTTCCCTAGCCGTACGTCCCTCTGTTTCCGTGATCGCAGTCCTGATTCAGCGTCTCTACTTACTCCAGAGCCCTTGATCGTGGTGCGTCCCTCTACCACTCCACATCTCGAGGGGGAGGCTAATCTTTCGAGAAAGGTCCTCGTCTCGACCCCAATACAGATCTTCTTTGCCTGGAGGATACGCATGATCACCAAAATGATCTGGGTACCCATCGTCATTAGCGTTTTTGCTTTGGCCGCCCTCAGTGCGCTTGATCCCCCTCTCCCCGCGCTAATGCTGACTTGGGGTCTAGCCGGCGGTCTGTGGACCACGGTCAAGGTCGCTATCATCAAGGAACTCGCGCGCAAACCCGAGCTCCACAATTCCGCTCTACTATGGTTCCTCGCGTCCTGCGTTGCGGACATCTTAAGTGCGCTTGATCCCACCTCCCCCCGCGAAGCTCACGCTCATGTCGGATGCAGTCACCATTTCGCTCGTCCTGACCCTTGTCAGCGCCTTCTGTCCCTCCTGCCTGTCGTCCTCATCTGACATCTTACTCCCGCAGTCCCACCGTAAGACCGGCTTCGTGGCGACAGACTCCGTGATCGACAAGATCATACGCAGTGCGCATCTATCTACTTTGCTGAATCCCGCGCCAGCTGACGCGCTCTCCCGCCAGCGACAATACAAACCGGTATGGTGACCGCCATCTTCAGCATCCTCGACGTCATCTGCTTCATGGTCTTCCCCGTGCGTCCCCGCATCCCAATACTTGCCCTTACTTACGCTGACCCTCGGCCGTCTGCAGCACTACTCCATGTACGCCCCTGCGCCCTTGAAGTCGACGCCCGCTGACTGACTCCCTATAGAAACTTCGTCTGGGATCTGGCGCTCTCGAAACTCTACTCCAACGCGCTGCTCTCGACGCTCAACGCCCGCGCGCACCTCGCCACCATCTCCACCTCCCGGCCGTCGCGGGCGGGTGGCCCACCGACGGGGCAGCTCGTCTTCGAAGACATGGCGCTCGCGATGTCCATGGGCGTCACCCCCGCTGGCACCAAATTCGACGACGACCCGTTCGAGCGCGCGGGGCACGACACGACGACGACAGACGACTCGATGCGCAGCGGGAGCGGAGTGGGGACGCCGCTCCCGCGAATCAAGTTTGATGACGATGAGCGCCGCGTGGATGGGTCGGGGCGGGAGAGTGGGACGGGGACGGACACGTCCATGGAGGATATCCTGGAGACGCCCCGGACGGGGGCCTTCATGCTGTATACCGGGGTGCGTGGCCCTACCCTCCCTCCCTTCTCTCTATATGGGTGCTGACATCTTCGCAGGGGTCCGCCGCGACTCGTGGACTGTCGCCGTAGCCTCCCCTCCATCGTTTTTTCCTCTTTCCCTTCTTCGTTTTTCGTCTCGTCGTTCTCTCGCATCGCATGTACCTACATATCGCACGCATTGTCTCGTTCTCGCTCGCTATCTATCTATTTACTAAGTATCTACTATCTGCCCGCCGTTACTACTTACTTACCGCTCCTCGCTCCTCGCTACCTCCCATCATACACCACTATCGCCGCTGACCCACCTGTCGCACCCACGCGCGGGTGGTATCTCTATCGTTATGTAGTAATGCGCCCTGGCTTTCTGTACTTTTATGCATTTGGATTTCTGGAACGGATCTATTCACCATCTTTCCTAGCTGTGCATCGGGCGGGCAGGGGCGGCGGGAAGAGATCTTGGGGGCAGGGCCAGATGGTGTCTAAAGATGTCCGAAATATCGCCGACGGCGGCCGATCGCGACCACCCGACGTTAACGTCACGCGTCTTCCTTGCGCCCAGAGATCTCCTCGAGGTTGCCTCGAGGTAAGTTATCGGTTCGGAACTGAACTCAAACCAGGAGACCGCTTGCAATTTTACACTCTGGAAGGAGGCAAAGTACTATGATGTCCAGCTGGTTCGACTCTTGGACGAGCCCCAGGATTCAGATCGTCACCCAACACAGTAATGAACTGGAGAACGGGGCTCATCGCTGTGGTCTACACAGGAAAAAGATGGGACGGCAAATTTGGAACAAGGCCATCGTACGCCGGCACAAAAATGTACTTGCTACCAAGTTGCTAGGCAGGCGAAAAACGCGGGCCTCGGGTAGGCTCCTACTCTGTTAGGCGGCGCAATCAAGGCTACAAGTCCGCTATTTCACGATGGCCCGCGAGGGACTCTGGATCGCGGCGAATTACCGGTCATCCCTCGACCGAGCACAGTGAGCCCAGTCTCGTCCACGGATCTCGTAGTCCTGCACTGGCGCATCCAGTTAGCATGTGGGTCTTCTAGTTCACGTTGGTGTTTCTAGTTTCGCTGAATTTGTTCCCACTCTTGTATTCGGGTCCCAGGCGGAGACGCTGCCAGTGGTCTTGTTGTGAATTACACAACGATGGGAGCAGCTTTATGAGGATACCGTGCTGCGCGTGCGTCCATTGACGTGATTTCATGAGATTTCATTAACCATACCTACGGGAGACTCTGAACACGCTCCAGCCCCAATCGCGAATGTAATCTAATCCTTGTGGGCATTCGATGAAATACTCGAAAACCCAGACGCCCGGGCACGATATCGATGTTATTACGCGGTATTTTCTTCACATTTGGCCCGCGGCACCGAATCACACTCGATCGCGCGTCCATGCTTACGCACCCACAGGCAAAAGTTGTTCCGCTCCCAACGACCTCGATATATTTTGTCAGATGGGAAGAACAATGGCAATTAGTCCGCTCCAGTCCATTTTTGATGGACGAAGGTTGAACGGGGAATATTCATTCCACCGCCGTCGTCACATCTGCATGTACCTTCTGTGGCCTCGAGGCTGATCTGCAGAGGACCCTACTTCGGATTGGCGGCTTTGATACGCGAAATGCTGTAGAAAACTCACGCTCAGTGGGTATCGTTAGAAGAGTATGACTGGTATTTCTCGTGTTCTCATGATCAGGACCCGACGAATGTGAATCCATCTACCGAGTGCTCAATTCCATCGAATGCGAGGATATAAGCACGGGGTCTACTGTGTTGAACCCAAATCCTATGACCCAAATACTACCCGAATCCCATGGATCGGGGGAGGGCAAAGATTCTTGTGGGCGCCGCGGGACCCACAAAGAGATTGCGAAAGATATCAGTGAACAAACTGGGTCTGATAGCGAGCATGATGGAAGTTGCTGCAAAACTTTACTAGCCTCGAGGCAAAACAAATAGCCAGTTGGCCATATTCGAGTCAGAACGGAGAATTTGGGTGCGAGGACTCAGATTCCCGAGAATTTTGGCGCGCGGATTAACACGTAGGTAAATTGGCGAGGGCAAAGTGATTTTGCCGCAGCAGTGCCTTTGCCGCATGCAGCGGCAATGTCTGCGGCACTCAGCGGCAGTTGAACCTGCGGCACACCTTGAGCACCATGTTCAAAGGCCTTCCTGGGCTCAATTAGTAGGTAAGCACATACCTAGGTAATGTATAGAGAGTTGTATGATAAGTTCGAGGTATGCTGAGGCCCCTTGGCATCGTTGAGGGACGACTTGAGTTGACTTGCAGCGGCAGTCTGCGGCAGTCTGCGGCAACCAAACAGCGGCAAACATGCAACAGCGGCAGTCTGCGGCACTTGTCAGCGGCAGTTTTGGCAGTTTGCAGCGGCAATTATGCTGCTTGCAGCGGCAGTCGTACTTGCTGCCTGCGGCATTTTTGCAATTGTCTGCGGCAGTCTGGCTGCGTGACGTGCGGCGCTGTGACCAAGATGCCGCACGCCTGCGGCACTTCTGGTAGTTGTCTGCGGAACTCATGCCGCGCTACGAGGCACTCTGAAACGCATCAAGCGTGTCTTCATCCCCCTTGCCCAACTCCATCACCGA